TGAACCAGGAGGTGAAGGTTGCCGTGAGCCAAGATCAGGCCACTGCACTCCAGCCTGGGTGACAGAGCAAGACTCTGTCTCAAAAAAAAAAAAAAGAAGGGAAAATGAAATAACCCTTGTTTTGCCTTCATGGGTCAAGGGATGGGCTGGGCTAGAGTTCTAGGTTTGGGAGGATGTATTCTAAGCCCTTATCTAGCCGGATAAATTGAGGGAAGATCGGTTTGGCTCTGGAAAGGGAAAAGTCTTTCCCTTTGAGACTGTGACCTTTCCCTGCTTCCTATTTCTCTGCCAGGTGCTTACATGTTGCAGAAACTAATTGAAGAGACAGACAGGTTTGTAGTGTTCACAGAAGAGGAATCAGGCATGAGTGACCAGTTGTGTGGCATTGCTGCCTGCCAGACGGATGACATATACAACCGAAACTGCCTTATTGAACTGGTCAACTGTCAGGTACCTTCTCTTTACAAGTTACCTCAACATCAGGCTAGATCATGATCATATTGTTCACCTTCCCCCACCTCTAAGTATGAATGGGTAAATAGAGCTCCAAAAAATTTGTCCTTCTCATAGGTATCATAGATAATCACTTCTATGTCCAGACGCCAGTAAAATTTCCTCAGTAAGCCAGAATTAGATCTAGCTGCTGTGGTTGATACAATGTGCTCACTAATCTCATCTTCCTTGGTAGCTTAACTCTGCTTCTATCTCTGGCATAGATGGTTCTTCGTGGAGCAGAGACAGAAGGCTGTGTCATTGTGTCAGCTGCCAAAGCCCAACTGCTGCAGTGCCAGCACCATCCAGCCTGGTATGGTGATACATTGAAGCAAAAGACATCCTGGACTTGCCTCTTGGATGGCATGCAGTACTTTGCCACCACTGAGAGCAGCCCCACGGAGCAGGATGGCCGACAGCTCTGGTTAGAGGTTAGTGAGTGGATTTGTGAAGGCCCATTATATTCCTGGTTTTCCATAGAGTTTCTAATGGCTGGAATATTCTTGACAGTAACCTACTGTTACTAGCTTAGCAGAATAATGAGGCTGATAACACCTTGAATGTGGGCAGTCTCTGGTCTGGAACCGTATAGTACTGTTTTTTTTTTTTCCTCATGGTGTTCTATTTCATTGCGAAAGAAATTGTCATTTCCCAGAACTAGTATAAAATGGACTGGAACTTTTTTACTCTTTAAGATTGCTGATCCCTATTAATGTTCACACTAATCAGCAGGCAGCCAAGAAAACAGGCAGTGACTCAGAATTTTCGATAAGTTCACTATCTGCCCATTCTCTGTCCTCTCATGAAAATGACTGATTGGTTATTTCAGCAAGTCAGTGAGGTTGAATGAAAGACTGTCTAGGAGTCAGGTTATGTGAGTTCTAATGATAGCTTTCCCATGATAGTAGCCATGAGCTCTTGGACAAGTCACCTTTAATTGTGAAATGGAATTGATACTTCACCCTCACAAGATTGTTGAAAGGATCCCATAATAAGGTGCTTTGAAAATATAAATCTTTATTCAGGTGGAAAGTACTCTTTTTTTTTTTTAAAGTCAGTATGTATGGGGAGGTCTTAAGTGTGTGGCAAGATAATGTGGTTTTGTTTGTTTTTTGAGACAGAGTCTTGCTCTGTAGCCCAGGCTGGAGTGCAGTGGCATGAACTCGGCTCACTGCAACCTCTGCCTCCCGGGTTCAAGCCATTTTCCTGCCTCAGCCTCCTGAGTAGCTGGGATTACAGGCGCGCCCCACCATGACCGCCTAATTTTTGTATCTTTAGTAGAGACGGGGTTTCACCATGTTGGCCAGGCTGGTCTTGAGCTCCTGACCTCTTGATCTGCCCGCCTCGGCCTCCCAAAGTGTTGGGATTACAGGCTTATGCCCCACCCAGCCAAGATAATGTTTTTGTTAGATGGTGAGATTGTGAGCAGTTGGCAGAAATAAGGGAAGGAGCCTGTCTTTGCATTGCATGGTTGTTAATTTGCTTTTCAGCTTCTTGGTAAAACTGAACCAGATTATATTTTACCCTGTAACTTCTAAGATATAATATCATCAGAATTATTGGAGAGTCTATTGGTTATGAGATATGCCTAGTCAATATTGTACATTATTACTTAACAGGTGTTAAGTGCCCACATTGTCTTGGGCATGGTACACCCCCAAATGAGTTACAGGATCTAGCTGTATCTGATAAGGACCACAGTGATAAATCCATTTGCAATTCTTAGTGGGGATAAAAGGGTCCCTCTTCTCACCTCCCTGGCTGATGCTTCTTATATCAAGGACCTTAGGGCTTAGTCCAGGCAACCTCAAGTGTAATAAGAGGTAATGAGCATTTAGATCAGATGTTAGGCTGGGCGCGGTGGCTCACGCCTATAATCCCAGCACTTTGGGAGGCTGAGGCAAGTGGATCACAAGGTTAGGAGTTCAAGACTACCCTGGCCAAGATGGTGAAACCCCGTCTCTACTAAAAATACAAAAATTAGCCGGGCGTGGTGGTGGGCGCCTGTAATTCCAGCTACTCGGGAGGCTGAGGCAGAGAATTGCTTGAACCCAAGAGGTGGAGGTTGCAGTGAGCTGATATCGCACCACTGCACTCCAGCCTGGGCAACAGAGCAAGACTCTGTCTCAAAAAAAATAAAAATAAAAAGATCAGATGTCAAGCCAAGTAAGGGACTGGTTGTTGGTAGTACGAGAAGTCATGCTGATATATAAGAGCTGTGGTTCATTCAAGCAAGCAATGCTCTTTATCAGTAGTCTTAGGAGGTAAGCACAGGTGTTAACTACCCATGCAGAAGTAGAATGGATGAGCTGTTGGATCTTTCTGGCATTTTCTGCACCTCTGCTGCTTTTAGGCATGCCTTCTTTTGCATGTGAACTCTTGCCCCCTGCCCCCCACCCCCCTCAGGCTGTGATACTAGCGTTAGAGTGGAACGTCTTTGGTTTAGGTACGAGGGACTTTGGCCTTTCCTATATTTTTTTGAGGCTTGACAGATCCACCATCTGCTGTGGTCTTCCCATCTCACTCATTCTGTTATTCACTCTGACTTCAGCTTGGCAGAGTGAATAAAAATAATTCAATTCCCTTCCCTCATGGCAACATTGTCAGAGTGGTTATCTATCTGAAGATAGAAAACAACAAGAACACAAATGGAACAAATAACAAAATGGGTGGGAAAGTAATTTTTTTTAAATGAGATATTTTGCCCAAGACATGATTAGATTTGAACCTTGCTCATTGTTTTTCTGGCTCGAGACCTGCGGGCCTGGCAAAGTGTGCATGTAATGCAGTTGGGTTGGAGAATTTGGGTGAACTGGGGCAAGAGAATGAGACAAGTACGTCCTCTATCCTGGGAGATGGTTCAAGCTATTCCATGCAGTGGAGGTCTAGATAGTAAGTGTAACTACTTGAAATATGGAGATCTGTCACCCAGTTGTCCAGGACAAGCCTCTGTTTCCCCAGGAGCTAAAGTCGCCTGCATCTCTGTCTTCAGGTGAAGAATATCGAGGAGCACCGGCAGCGTAGTTTGGACTCTGTGCAGGAGCTGATGGAGAGTGGGCAGGCAGTGGGCGGCATGGTTACCACAACCACAGGTCAGCCCTCCCCCTCCTCTGCATCAAATAATTAGGAACAGATGTGCATCCCAAAGGGACCTTATTTCCCTTCCTATTCTTAACGTCAATGTATGCAGTAGTAGGACCATTTTGTGCTAGGCTAGGTTGAAAGCGGTGTTTCTGGAGTTTCCGAGACATAGCTGGGAGGCTGTCACATTACCTTTATTGAGAATGTCTTTTTCTTATCTCTTTCCCACCTCTTCCCAGATTGGAACCAGCCAGCTGAAGCACAACAAGCCCAGCAAGTCCAGCGGATCATTTCGCGTTGCAGCTGCCGAATGTACTATATTAGTTACAGCCATGACATTGATCCTGAACTAGCAACTCAGATTAAGCCACCTGAAGTTCTTGAGAACCAGGAAAAGGAAGATCTCCTAAAGAAGCAGGAAGGTATTCAGGGCTTGAAAGGCTTTTAGGAGAGGACTAGGGAAATTGGTAAAGTAGTTATTTCCTTGGTGATTCTGAGACAGTAGAGTTATTAAAAGTCCACTGTGCACTGGCATTAATGTTTCACTTTGCTCTGTTTTTTGTAAGTTCTGCTATGAGAAAATAACCTCTATTCTTAGAGGGAGCTGGGATGAACGGGCATTCTTTATGATTCTGAAATAAACATGTTTCTACCCATGAGCACCTCTCACCCTTTCTGTGGGGTTGACTAGTAGGGTGGTTCCAAATGTGGGTAAAGAGATGGAGTAGATATTTAGGTAGAAACTTGAGCCTTTTATTTAGCTGCTAACAATTATCTAGGGGCTGTGGATACCTTCACCCTTATCCACCATGAGCTGGAAATTTCCACCAACCCAGCTCAGTATGCCATGATCCTGGATATTGTCAACAACTTGCTGCTCCACGTAGAACCTAAGCGGAAGGTGAGCATCGGCCCTTGTAGAATGCTGGTTAGCCTCACAGGAACACCCAGACTTTGTGCTTTATTTGGGCTTCTGTAAGAAAAGCCATGCTTCACACTGAAAAAGGGCCTTGTGGTTGATACATTCTGTTAGTCAGCAGTGACCATTGAAATTCCACTTATTTAGGAAAGGCCTGAATGTCTCTCAGACTGTAGGGCTTGTTTGCCTGATTGTTTTCTCCTAGTTATTTCTCTACTCAGTCACCTGGACACCTAAAAACATTTACTATTCCCTGCTTCCACCTCCATCCCCATCCTGTTGGGCCTGACTTATTGTGAAATCCACATTGCCAAATTTTCTGCATTGACCTACTACTGTTGCTATTAACAGTGACAGATAAAGGTTAGCTTTCTAGAAGAGACCCCCCCATTTCTTTCTCCTTTCTCTATTTCACTTTACTACAAGACTTTTACTACAAGACTTGTCTACTTAAAAATTGTATTCATTTCTCTTTCCATTCCTTCAGGAGCATAGTGAGAAGAAGCAACGGGTCAGGTTCCAGCTTGAGATCTCTAGCAATCCAGAGGAGCAACGCAGCAGCATACTGCATTTGCAGGAGGCTGTGCGGCAGCATGTGGCCCAAATACGACAGCTTGAGAAGCAGATGTATTCTATCATGAAGGTAGTCACTGCAGATAGATAGTTCGAGGACCAGGAAGTCTCCTAGAACAAGGGTTATCTCTCAGCTTCTATCCTGGTTCCCTAGTCTTTGCAGGATGACAGTAAGAATGAGAATCTGCTTGACCTGAACCAGAAGCTTCAGTTGCAGTTAAACCAGGAGAAGGCCAACCTGCAGCTGGAAAGTGAAGAACTGAATATCCTCATCAGGTGCCCCAGCATTCTTTCCTTGCCCTTTTCCAGTGCCCCAGCTACAGGCAGTTCTCTTTCTTGAGGTCTAGTGTGCATTATCAAAGGCTGATGTAGGAGTAGGTTCAGGCAGCTCTTCCTGAATAAGAAAATGGGTAGTTGGGAAGGATCACTTTTCTTTTTTTTTTAGAGACAAGGTGGTCTCACTACGTTAACCAGGCTGGTCTGGAACTCCTGGGCTCAAGCAGTCCTTCTGTCTTGGCCTCCCAAAGTGCTGGGATTACAGGCGTGAGCTGGGATTACCACACCCAGCTGAAAGATCACTGTGGTCGCCTTGATACTATGCGTCTGAACTGAAAAGATCTTTTTTTTTTTTAATGAACCTGACATAGATATATGAAAATATCTTGAAGTTGATCAGCATAGAATTGCAGATAAAATCGTAGGAATTATTAGTGGGAAGACACTACTTTATCAAGAAGCTATAGAGCTGAAAGTTGGGATTTGTGCTTCTATGACCTAGAATGTCAGCAGCAATAAATTCAGTAAAAAAAATTTAGGGACTGGCTAACCCAGAATAGGTTAATTTCTGAGTGTACCTCCTGCATCATTCTAGAGCATTCTATCCCACCCCCTACCCATGTGCTATTTCCCTTACTGGCTTTGGCTCCCCTGTCCACTTATAGGTGTTTTAAGGATTTCCAACTGCAGCGGGCTAACAAGATGGAGCTGCGAAAGCAGCAAGAAGATGTGAGTGTGGTCCGTCGCACTGAGTTTTACTTTGCTCAGGCACGGTGGCGCCTGACAGAGGAAGATGGACAGCTGGGAATTGCTGAATTAGAACTGCAGAGGTTCCTCTACAGCAAGGTATCTGGGGTATATGGTCACACAAAGGCAGCTGTATTGAGAAACATTGACCTAGCTTAGGAGTCTAACTCATAAAAGAGAAATAAAAAGGGGCTAATTATTATATGATTATTAATGATAGTATGATTGGAAACATGAGCAGAGCTTCCTTTGACACATCTGTTTATAATGAATGATACACATACAGCTCTGATGCCATAGGGGAAAGTAACAATGAACAAATAAAATATTTTTCAAAAAAATGATACAGGCCATGTGTGGTGGTTCATGCCTGTAATCCCATAACTCTGGGAGGCTGAGGTGGGAGGATTGCTTGAAGTCAAGAGTTCAACAAAAATTTTAAAAATTAGCTGGGCATCGTGGTGCATACCTGTGGTCCCAGCTACTTGGTAGGCTGAGGCAGGAGGATTGCTTGAGCCCTGGAGTTCGAGCCTGCAGTGAGCTGTGATCACACCACTGCACTCCAGCCTGGGCAACAGAGTGAGACCCTGTCTCTGAAAAAGAAAATAAATAATTAAAAACATACATGATAGGCCGGGCATGGTGGCTCACACCTATAATCCCAGCACTCTGGAAGGCCGAGGCAGGTGCATCACCTGAGGTCAGGAGTTGAAGACCAGCCAACACGGTGAAACCCCATCTCTACTAATAATACAAAAATTAGCCAGGCGTGGTGGTGCACCCCTGTGGTCCCAGCTACTCGGGAGGCTGAAGCAGGAGAATCGTTTGAACCTGGGAGGTGGATGTTGCAGTGAGCCAAGATCGTGCCACTGCACTTCAGCCTGGTGACAGAGTGAGACTCTATCTAAAAATAAAACGAAAGTCAGTTGGGTGTGGTGGTGTGCATCTGTAATCCCAGCTACTCAGGAGGCTAAAGCAGGAGAATCGCTTGAACCCAGGAGATGGATGTTGCAGTGAGCCAAGATTGTGCCACTGCACTTCAGCCTGGGCAACAGAGTGAGACCCTATCTCAAAAAAAATAAAATAGAGTAAGATACAGATACAGATGAGTTTGATCAAATACTTCTCTTGTTGAGTAAGAAGATGATCCCTAGAAGTATGGTCCAGAGGCAAATAATCTTTCATGTCCAGCTTGGAATAGAATATTCTAATAGTGACATTCAGCTTTTCTGCCATTGATGTAAAGAAGGCAGTATTATTTATTACTTTCTCCTACAAGGGGCATTTGGAAATGAATTAGAACATTTTTTAATGTCACAATGGCTAGATAGTACTATCAGCATTTAGTGTCCTGGACCATAGTGCCCATGAGACACACTGGATTAAAGAGTTTTGACTGTATGAGTTTGAAGGAGATATCAAAGTTGGGATTAGGCATATGTAGAGCCTGAAAAAAAACTGGATACATAGCAATTGTCTAGTAGACTTCTGAGAAAGGTTTATTATAGTAGATGGGGCAAAACTGTCTTTATAGGTGAATAAATCTGATGACACAGCAGAACATCTTCTGGAGTTGGGCTGGTTTACTATGAACAACCTCCTCCCCAATGCTGTCTATAAGGCAAGTCTTTTTTCCCCATTCCTAGTCCATTTGCATATTTTTAGCACAGGGCATTTATAACGGCCGTTCAATATAAATCCACTATGGAAAACAATGTGGTGATCTGAGAGGGTGAAAGCTTGCCCAGCTTAGCAGTACCATTGCTTCTCCTCTCATTCTGCAGAGGATTTGGGGGTTGCTTTATGGCAGGAAGGACATTGGGTTGGGCTGTTGTTTACTCTCTATCCTACAGGTAGTACTGCGGCCCCAGAGCTCCTGCCAGTCTGGGCGACAGCTAGCTCTCCGCCTCTTCAGCAAAGTTCGGCCCCCTGTTGGGGGTATCTCTGTTAAGGAGCATTTTGAGGTTAGTAAGCAGTCCCTTGGGGACCTGGGAACAAAGGACATTCAAAAGCCAGCTGTGTGTTACATGATATTAGGAGTAGGTAAACTGATCATGGTGTCTGAGCTTAATTACTTCTTGAATCTTTCTCCTTTTTAGGTAAATGTGGTGCCTCTCACCATCCAGCTGACACACCAGTTCTTCCATAGAATGATGGGCTTTTTCTTTCCTGGCCGAAGTGTGGAAGATGATGAAGTTGGTGATGAAGAGGATAAGTCCAAACTGGTGACTACTGGTGAGAACTTTTATGGTGGAGCCCCAAAAGAATAGGGTAGCCGCCCCAAAGACAGCTGAGACTTCAGAATGAGGATGGATGACAGCTGGTGCACTTGCTTTTTCATAGGAATACCAGTGGTGAAGCCTCGGCAGCTGATTGCAACAGATGATGCAGTACCACTGGGCCCTGGGAAGGGTGTGGCACAGGGTTTGACTCGGAGTTCTGGGGTCAGAAGGTCATTTCGCAAATCTCCAGAGGTACCAAACATGCCCCTGATGATAGAAAAATGGGAGAGTCCTGAGGTCCTGTTTGGTGTGATTTGGGATTTCTTCGGTTTCCTCTGAGTCCATTCTAGGGATAAAAGAAGAGGGAGATGTTTGGGGTCCTGAGTTTCTTCTGATGGATTCAGGGCTCATACTCCTTGCCTGCCTTTCTTAGCACCCTGTGGATGACATTGACAAGATGAAAGAGCGAGCTGCCATGAACAACTCCTTCATCTACATAAAGATTCCACAGGTTCCACTGTGTGTCAGCTACAAGGTCTGCACCTTGCAAGTACTTTGTAGAACAGGGTGGGCAGGGAACCAGATAAGATCAGAGATTCTAGACAGGGAGACAGCTAGGTTGTTTGTGTCGCTGAGCTGTGGGTGATATATCTGCTGTTCCCTCTGCTACCCTCAAGAGTCAGCACCATTACGAGACTGAGATTAAGGGGAAACCAGTATATATAGGTTACTATTGTAGGCCTTGTGCTCAAGTGACTGGCTTGGACTCAAAATGGCAGCTGATGTATTTCCCACCCCTCTTTTTTTCTTTCCCTTCCCCCTCCTCTTACAGGGTGAGAAGAACAGTGTGGACTGGGGTGACCTTAACCTGGTGCTGCCCTGTCTGGAGTACCACAACAACACATGGACATGGCTAGACTTTGCCATGGCTGTCAAAAGGGACAGCCGCAAAGCCCTGGTTGCCCAGGTATCCCGCCAGGGCTCATGGCTGTTTGGTTAACGGGGCTGGCAGGCAGATCCTCTTTTGGGGAGCCTTTCGTTTTAGAATCCATGAATAAATATCCTTGGGAAAGGGCAGGTGCATGTGGTGAGTGACTTCTATGCCTGCCCTCTCCATGACCTCACTCAGATTATTAAATTCAATGTTTATTGAGTGTTTCATATATCACCATTGATTTTAGGGAACTGAGAGCTAACACAACCTAAAGTTTAGAAGGAGTTATCATTAGACTGTAAGCTTCTTGAAAGCAGAGACCATTGTATGTGAATTGCCCCATTGTGCCTTGGATGTGTTTAATAAATCTTTATTGTCTTGGTTCATTTTGATTTATTCTGCCTGCCCACTAATATTTACCTTTTCCTTTACTCCTCTCCAATCTGCCAGGTGATCAAAGAGAAGCTAAGACTGAAGCCTGCAACAGGCTCTGAGGTCCGGGGAAAGCTAGAAACTAAATCGGATCTGAACATGCAACAGCAGGAAGAGGAGGAGAAAGCCCGGCTCCTCATTGGTTTAAGTGTGGGCGACAAGAACCCTGGCAAGAAGTCCATCTTTGGCAGGCGCAAATGATTTGGCGATTCGAGTGGCTACAGTACAGGATCTGACTCTGGCTCAGGCTCCAGGGACTTGTGGGGTGGGAGGGGCTTCCCTTTATCCACCAGGATTTGTGGGTGTCAGAGCCCATAGGCATTGCTGTTCACCACCTGCCCTGTTCACTGCAGGGCATGGTGGACAGTAATGCTGAGTTCCATCTCACGCTGATCAGGTTCAGGGCCAGAGAGACAACAAGAGAGCAAGACCCAGGGAACGGGCCCAGGGCAGGACCCTATTCCTTGGGGTCAAGTGAAAGGGTAGGGGGATAGTCCTGATCAAGTGTGATAAATTTTTATAAACATATATAAATATATATATTATATATATTTCTAAGTGTAACTGTCCTCCCTCTGTGCCAGGAAACAGGGGAGGGGGCTGATCCTCTGATCCTCACTCCACTGCCATGTATGAAAGAGGTATTGGTGTTCTGAGCGGCGATCAACCCCTCCCCAGTCTCTGTGCTAAGTTCACTTGGGAGGATGGCAGTAGGAGCCAGGGCTGGCCATGGGTCCCCTACCCTTCCCCCTAGGATATGCCCTGGAAAATGGCAAAATGATTTAAAGAGAAAAAAAAAGATATTTTAAATTTGATGCTCATTTTTTGTGTGTGTGTTGAGTGTCTGCATTCAATCTGTATCCCTTCCTCATCAACCCAAGACATCCTGCAGCTGCCACTCTGAGGGTGGCCCCTTCTTCTCTGCCCTGAAGCTGTATTACAGAAATTTCTAGTCCTAGTGTGACTCTGGCCCCGTGCTGATGGGTTTCTGCACACTGGAAGAGGCGGGACTCGTGTCATGCAGCATCAGGGAGAGGAATTGCTTATGTAACTGGGACAGCAGATTTAGCAGAGAGAGGAGGCAGAGGCTGGGGATGGGAGCAGTAAGCTGTCGGCAGGGGCAACACACCCGGGTGGCTGTTCCTCACAAGGTAGGCTGTGGGGCTCTGGCAGCCTACTGAGGGGAGGAGAGGGAGACATGGGCTTGAGGCCTGGGGGGCTTGAGGCCTGGGAAGTTCCTGGTTAGGAGCATGGCAGTGATTACTCAATGTGGGGGTGGGGCAGGGAGGCTATGCTATGAAAGCATCACAGCCCAATACTGAGGTGCAGGCTGTATTATTAATGTATCATGGTGAAAATGTCCAACAATTATTTTCCTAGAGGATTTGAATTGTGTCCAGGAAATCCAGGGCTTAGCACAAAGCAAGGGTAACGGGAATTTTGCCTCATGCTCAAAAATGTACCTCTAAGGGTTGAGACTTAAGGGGAGGGAGTGCCTAGTAAGATGGGTGGAACCTGCTATGCCTCAGGAGCAGAAAGTTTAGAGTGGCTCCCTTGGTTCTCAGCAGGGTGGCAACATCCGGGGCCCCTGGGCCCGAGGCTGGAAGAGCCTCTGGTCAGATGTGGGAACCATCAGGTCAGATCTGGAAGAACTCTGGGAACTACGGGGGCATCACTATCTGCACCAGGAGTCCCTAAAGCCAGCCCCACTACTGAAGTCTCTGCCAGAGTGGCCAGTGCCTCAGTTCATCAACCTCTTTCTACCAGAGTTTCCCATTAGGCCCATTAGGGGGCAGCAGCAGCTGAAGGTGAGTCAGTGGAATCCCTGAGTGGGGTCTCAGTCTTTGGGAGAAGTTGGAAATGACCAGTCTCAACTGGCCTGTTCTCCATTTCTCTGTACAGATTTTAGGCCTTGTGGCTAAAGGCTCCTTTGGAACTGTCCTCAAGGTGCTAGATTGCACCCAGAAAGCTATATTTGCAGTGAAGGTAGGGGCTTAGGTACCACATTATTCTCTAGTCTCTGTTTCCAGTCTTGATTCCAGAGAGGTTGGGAGGAGTAAACAATTCAATAGCACTATCCTCTATGAGTCATCACTACTCTCCCTTTATAGGTGGTGCCCAAGGTAAAGGTCCTACAGAGGGACGCTGTGAGGCAGTGCAAAGAGGAGGTTAGCATCCAGGTATGCACAGAGTCCTGGAAAGGATTGTGGGAAGAGCTAGGCCACAGGCAGGGAAAGTACCTTTCTTGACCACCACCTTTTCCTGGTTCTGCCTCCTCCATCTGCTTCAGCCTAGTTTGACACTAAAGTAGGTCCTGGGAAAAGTATCTATCAGCTCTCAACACAGTTTTCTCATGTCCTACCAGGGAAATCTCTTAAGCATGTCCCAGTGTATTCCTTAGTATTTGCTGGTTCTAGGATTACCAGATAGTTCCAATTACTGAGTTCCTCTGAACTGAGAGATGAGGCAGCAGTTCCCCCTCTGCGCATCTGAGTAAAACCTGAGTTCTCGGCTGCCTTTATTCTCAATGACCATGTTCCTCCCTAACTTCCTGTTTGCTTTGTCCCTAGCGACAGATCAACCATCCCTTTGTACACAGCTTGGGGGACAGCTGGCAGGGAAAACGGCACCTTTTCATTAGTGAGTGACTGGACTCTCTCCTCATCCCCCAGGGTCCTTGTGCTATATCCCCACCTGAGATTATCTCTTTGGCTTGTTCTGCCTTTGCTGTGTCCCCCTTCTCATGGCACCTCTCTGGGGTGGGAGGGGGGACAGCAAGTGGTATTTTGGGCAGGAGGCCTACAATGCCTTGAGCCCAGGCATTGCAGCTCCCAAACATTGCCTAGACTTCTGGCAATGTATGTAGCTTCACACTGGCTTTGCAGTGTGTAGCTACTGCAGCACAGATCTGTACTCCCTTTGGTCGGCTGTTGGCTGCTTTCCTGAGGCTTCCATCCGTCTCTTTGCTGCCGAGTTGGTCCTGGTACTGTGTAAGTGAAACAGTGGTAAAGGAAATGGGGAGGGAAGATTTAAGTTGGGAAGGAGAGTAAAGAATTAATATAAATAATGGAGGTCAAAGAATAGGAGAGGGATGGGATGAGGGCTACTAGGGAAACTGGAAAGGACAGAAAAGCTGCAGCACGCCCCATACTTGTTATCCACAGGTTATCTCCATGACTTGGGCATCATGCATCGAGATGTGAAGGTAGAGTTAAGTGCTTTTTTCCCTTTGTCTGAGAAAGAGTCTCAATAAGAAGTCCCAACAAGTCCAAGAAGTTAGGGAGCAGAGAACTGTAGACATTGGGGCCCCTATGGGTGCCAAGGATTTGGGCAAGGGCTCTCTGAGTATAGATTTGAGTGCTGAGTAGGGCATAACCTTCAGCTGGTGTGTATACATGATGAAAGAGAGTTGAAAGGAAGAGGAAGAATTACTTCTCACCTGTGATCTTTCAGATGGAGAATATTCTTCTAGATGAACGAGGTAAGTATTTTTCCTTCCCTAGCCCCAGGATGAGAGGTACTTTGGGAATAAATCATGGCTGACGAGGGGTGGAACAGTGGTGCGGTTGCCTTACCTTCTTTATAGGCCATCTGAAACTGACAGACTTTGGTCTGTCCCGCCACCTGCCCCAGGGAGCTCGAGCCTACACTATCTGTGGCACTCTACAGTACATGGGTGAGAGAGGTTAAAGCTGATGGGTAAGCATTGGGCAGGAGGATAGCTAAAGGATGTCAGTGACGAGTGTCTTTGAAATCTGTAGCCCCAGAGGTCCTAAGTGGAGGACCTTACAACCATGCCGCTGATTGGTGGTCCCTGGGTGTCTTGCTTTTCTCTCTGGCAACGGGAAAGGTGAGAGAATACTAGTAGTTTTGGGCAGAGAAGAGCTTTGCCTGTGGTGGGAAGAAGGAAGACCTTAGGAAATCTTGTCTTATTCCTACTAAGGAAGGAACCCCTACCCCCATCCCCACTCCCTACCTCTTAACTCAGTTTCCAGTGGCTGCAGAGAGAGATCATGTGGCCATGTTGGCAAGTGTGACCCACAGTGACTCTGAGATCCCAGCTTCTCTTAACCAGGGCCTCTCACTCCTGCTCCATGAGGTAAGGATGAGCGCTGCTTTCCTTCTTGGCTACCAAACCATTCATGCTCTCCTGCCTTCATTAAAGTGATGTTTCCTCATTCCTCTCATTAATTTTTTTTGGGGGGGCTCCAACTTTTACTTAACTACCTAACTACTTGCCATCTAAGCTGTACTGAGTCACATTCCTAAGTTCCTGGTCCCCCAAATCTCCCCATCTAGAACAGAGAGGTCCCTTCTGAGAGAGTGGAGCACTGTACACTCATCTGAAAACTCACAAGTACAGCTCCTTATTCCCACCTTTGCCCCAAATTAGCCTCTATTTCTCCCTCTTTTACAAATCATCTACTCTTCAGGGTTCTTATTCCTACCCTCCACAGCTCCACGAACTTCTTTCTTCTTTTCCATCCTTTCTGTTCAGGCCTTTCCTGTCCTAGTCATCATCCTTCATGCTCTATTTTCCTTCAGCTCTTATGCCAGAACCCCCTCCATCGTCTACGTTATCTGCATCACTTCCAGGTCCACCCTTTCTTTCGGGGTGTGGCCTTTGACCCAGAGCTCCTACAGAAGCAGCCAGTGAACTTTGTCACGGAGACACAAGCTACGCAGCCCAGTTCAGCAGAGACCATGCCCTTCGATGACTTTGACTGTGATCTGGAGTCCTTCCTGCTCTACCCTATCCCTGCTTGAGCCTCTCTACTGTAAATTGGGGCCTGGTTGGGAGCCTGAAGATCTCCATCACTGCCCACTCAGTATGACCACCTTGATAATCCAGTTTATTTTTATTTTGTAGCCTCACCGTTCTGTTCTCCTAGGCTTTAGACCAGAGTTCCAACCTTGGACATTCTGCTACTGGCAGCCACAGCTGGCCCTATTCCTTCCCTATCATACAACCTACCTGTCAATTCAACATCTCAGATCAGGGTGGTGACCTTTTCCTTTTCTTTACTTCTCCAGTGCTCTTACCCTCAGGCTCTCAGCCAGGGCTGCTTCCACTTGTGTCCTTTCTTGAGCAATAATAATACTTCATGGGTTCCCAGGGTGCTATTGATGTGTTTAATAGGCTTGTCAGAAGCAATATGAATTTGTATTTTTATTTATATATTTTTTTTTTGAGACAGAGTCTCACTCTGTTGCCCAGGCTGGAGTGCAGTGGCACAATCTCAGCTCACTGCAACCTCCGCCTCCCGGGTTCAAGTGATTTTCATGCCTCAGTCTCCCGAGTAGCTGGGATTACAGGTGCACACCATTATGCCCAGCTAATTTTTGTATTTTTTAGTAGAGACAGGGCTTCACTATGTTGGCCAGCCTGGTCTCAAACTCCTGACCTCAAGTGATCGGCCTGCCTCGGCCTCCCAAAGTGCTGGAATTATAGGTGTGAGCCACTCCACCAGGCCCCCCTACTTTTTTTTTTTTTTTTGAGATAGGGTCTCACTCTTGTCACCCAGGTTGGAGTGCAGTGGCACGATCTCAGCTCACTGCAACCTTCACAGGCATGAGCCTCCACACCCAGCCTGTGAATTTTTCAAAAGTCTTAAAAGCTGGCATTTCAACCCCTACATAATACAGCTAAAAAATATAGTCTGGGAGCTTGAGGCCAGTCTGCAATAAATCTAATTTTTAAAAATTGAAAAGTGAATAAAATAATCTAGTGAGGAAGAAAATAGAAACTGAAACATGGGTGGGTTAAGTGTCTTCTCTAGGTCTCTAATTGGAACAGTTATCCAAAATAAAACTTCTTTGA